ATACTATGAAGTTAGGCTTATCAGGTGTCTATCGTTGTTCGTATTTTATATTTGATTTTGGGTCTTAATGATATCATGTTTTTTGTTGTTTAGTTTGTATAGGTTTTTTAGTAACAGCATGCACTTTATTAGAGGGAAAGCGATGTTTGGCATTTTTAAGATTGGCTCACATTGTTGCTCCTTTAATTGTTTTTTATATAAGTGATTAAAATTCAGCTTATTATATATTTTTTATTGTTTAGGTCATGGTTTGAGTGCTGGTACTGTTTTTGGATTATTATGATTACTTTATGATTTATGTCATATTCGTATCTGAATTTTGTTGAAGTCTGGTTTAAATGGTGTTGGCTATATGTTAGGTGTAATTATTAGATTGTTGAGGTTATGTTCATTTCCTACACCTATTCAACTTTTTTCTGAAGTAAAATTGATTATACAAAGATCTGGTTTAGTTATTTATATGTTATTTTGGATGTTGTATTTATTTTTCGGTGGGGTGATTCCTTTAACATTGTGTGATCATTTATTGATTCGGAAAGAATGGTATAAAAGATTTGGTGTTGGATTTAAATATTTATATTTTTTAGTTTTTAAAATATTTGATGCTTTTTGGGATTTTTTGATGTTGTAGTTTAATGAGGTGTTTATGTGCATTTTGCAATTTGGTTGTGAAGGTGATTAGTAATCCGATAATTTCTCTTAGCTTAAGTTAAAGTATCAAGTTGAAGAGTTGGAAGTAGTTGGATTAGAGCAATTGATAAGTTAAAAAACTGTGGGGTTCATGTCTCCTTAATACATATTTGTATCGAGTATATTTGATGTTTAATTTAATAAGCGACTTTAGATCTTCAATTGGTGTTTTACACGGTAAGATAATTAAAAGTAGTATAGTTTATTATTATCTAAGTATTATTTTATGGACTATGCTATTATTTATAAGTTGGCGCCGTTTTCCTCATTGTTATAGTCCTTGGTTATCTGTTGTGTGGTTGATAGGAAATGTTTTTGTATCTTCTAGTAGATTGTGGTTAAATCGTTTATTAGATGATAGTAATGTTTTTTGCTAGAATTGTGCCATTAGGAATGCCAATTTATATTTGTCCTTTAGTGTGCATAGCTGAATCTATCAGTTATGTAATACGTCCTTTGGTATTAATACTGTGGCCATTTATTCACATAAGTTTGGGTTGTTTTGGTGCTGCTTTTGTTGGAGGAGGAGTAAATGTTAATTACTTGTGATTTTTAGTATTGGTAGGGTTTTTTTGAGGTTTGTGTGATTTTAGTACATTGATTTACTGTTCTTAGTAGATTACTGTTTTCTGATAATCATTAGTATATGATGTTTCTTAATAGTCAATTTAATTTTAATACTGTATTTTTTTCCAGCTTTTTTGTTTAGTATGTTGTGTGGTTGATAGGCTGATAGATTTTTGGATTATTTTAGAATTATGTGGGTTGTCTATTATACCATCACTTTTTTATAATAAAAAGGTTGTTTGATGTAAATTCTAAAGGTGCGTTTTAAGGTATATCATAGTATCTGGATTGTCATCTGTTTTGATAGTGTTGGATTTAATGTATTTGGGTTTGTATTATTTTATTTATTTTGGGTTTGCGTTAAAGTTTGGATTATTTCCGTTTTTGTTGTGAGTGTATCGAGCATTAAAAATTGGTAATTGATTACTTATTTTTTTAAGGGTTTTGTTTTTTTGTCTTCTTTATCAAAATGTTAACGTTTAATTGGTTTATGTTGACTGCTTTTTGACTATTTTTTATGTGCTATTTTTATTTGGTTTTTTTAGTCTCTATTGGGAATATGTTTGATGTCATATTTCATCGTCTTCAATTGCTAATTTGATAGTGGCGTGTTTTTGTAGAAGGGTTGAAATTTGTTTTTTTATGTATTTATATTATTTTTTTGGGGCAACACTTACTATAGTTTATTTAATTGTTGTTTCTGACATGGTTGATTTAAAGAGTTTTATGTTTTGAGGGTTTTGTTTTTTGTTGTTGATAACTCCTACTTCTCTTCCTTTGATTTATAAGATTAGAGTGTGTGTTGGTATATTATATTCTTCCGTATATATATATATATATATTGTTAATGTGGAGAGTTTATAGTTTTCTGAACAGTGTTTCTTGCATAAGTTGGCTAGTGGTTTTTTTAGTGGAGTTTATAATAGTTGATTAAAATAGTTGTAATGTACTTTACTAAAATGTCTGTTTTACACACAGGAGAACTCGGTTGAGCTTTACTATAGTTAAGTTTTTAACAAAATAGCTTAATAGAAAATATTGAGTTTGCGTCTCAAAGAAGGATTATGGTTTTGTTGTTATATTTGTAATATTAGTTTAAGCAGTAAAATAGTGATTTGTCTAGGCATAGATGATATTAATATCAAGTTACTTATGGTAATGGTTGTTTTTACTTTTATATCTGGTTTATGTGGATTGTTGAAAAGTTTATTAGCGATAGCTTTCTTTATATTGGGTGAACGTAAGGTACTTGGGCATTCTCAATATCGTAAGGGTCCTAATAAGGTTGGATTTTTGGGATCGTTTCAAAGTTTGCTGATTTACTAAAGTTACGTGTGAAGTTTAAGTGGTTTTATTTTCAGAGGCGCATATTTTTGATCTTATTGGTGTAATGTTATTGGTTGTGTTGTCGGCGTTTTATTGTTTTGTTTATGGTGATTATTATGGGTCAAAGGTTGGTCAGCTTTCTATGCTTTGATTTTTGGTTATTACTAGATTATGTGGTTATGCTGCACCATGTACCTGTTGAGGCAGTTTTATAATTATTCATTTTCGAGTTCTATTCGTTGTAGGTTTAGGTCTGTAAGGTTTCAAGCATGCTTCTTAGAGTATAGTTATTTTTAGGGGTTTATGTTATAAAAGATATAAATTAAGAGATTTTATAAGTGCTGATTGAGTTCCTTTATTTATATTTCCTTGCGCTTATATTATATTTTTGAGAGGCATATTATGTACTCCGTTTGATTATGGTGAAGCTGAAAGGGAGTTGATTGGTGGGTTTAATGTTGAGTGTAGTGGCATATATTTTACTTGTTTGTTTGCCTGTGAGCATATTATTAGATTTATTTTATCTTGAGTAGGCGTAGTGTTATTTTTGGGAGAAGGTGTGTTTTAAGTATGATTTTATTAATTATTAATTTATTATTTTTTTATGTGAGCTCGGGCTACGTTACCACGTGTTCGTTATGATTTTTTTGTGAGATTTTTTTGGGAAATTGGTTTATTAATGATTATATTTAGGTTAGTTGTATAGTAAAATAGGCCTATATAGATTAAATATAAATCGTGATGCTGTTAAATTCAAGAAAAAGTTGTTGCTATTATAGTCGTTGGCGTATACTTGTCTTAGTTTAAAAAGAATGATGGTTTTGAGGACCTTTGGTCTCAGTGAGAGATTTGGCTAATAGGGCTGCATAGCAGGTTACTTTGATATAGTAAAGAGTAAATTGTTATTTCGTTAATATTGCTCATATATCTTATTTCAAGTATAGGTTTTCACCCTAGAGATGTGCTTTACTGTAGATGTACATGCTATTGGTTAGATTTTTTATTTATTTTAGTAAGTATGATTATTGTTTTTGTTGTGGGTTGTTGAAAAGGTAGTTAGGTTTGAAGTAAGATGGTCTAGGTGTTATGAATGTGGGTCTTTTAAAGGTTTAATGAAACTTAAATGTTTTAGATATACTTACTTTGATTTATTAGTGGTTTTTGTTCTATTTGATTTAGAAATATCTTTATTGTTAAATATGCCAACACAGGGGTTTTATGTATTGGAGTTTTGGGGGTATTATATATTTTTATGTATATTGTTAGTTGGTTTATTGGTTGAAACTTTGTGTGATTATGTTAG